TAAGATAATATCATGTGTCAAACTGAAAGAATACAGTAAAATTATAGTAATATTACAACACGATAATATTTTTTTGTCAAACATAGAGAATACAGTAAAATATATAATATAACCCTTATTCTTAGACGAAAAGAATATAATAAGATATATAATATGAGCATTTTTTTTATAATTATTGGCTGAATTCTCAAAAAAAAAATTGTAAATAATTGATGATTTTTTGTTATAATCTGTTAACAGTTATTGGGTTCTTTTATCAATTTATATTCCAGATAGAGTCATAATTTTATCATAAATGAGTTTAGAATATAAAAAAAAATGAAGAATTCTCGATTAGAATTTTAGATATTGCAAGCAAAAAATAGTAATATTATGTAAAAAATTGGATAATTTTATAACCCCCAAAAAAATCGGAGTATGATCAATGTTTTTAAAATCGGTTTTTTACTTGAACCGGTTTGGTGACCGGTTTTTAGTTTAACCGGTTCGACCGTCGGGTCAACGAGTTTCTATAATTTTCATTTTTTTTATTATTTTCCCATACACATATACATACTACATACATACATAAATCAAGAATTTGACGTTCATAAATTCAAACATTAAAAATACACATAAAACAACTTGTAGATCAATTCAAATAAAACATATAACCAAAACAAAATATAGTTTAGATGAATACATGCGCATCAAAAAAAACTTCATAATATGTATCATGTGTTTTTATTTAGAGAAATCTAAATAGATGTGAAAAAACCATCAAAATTTGCTATGCAAAACGTTTCATTTCCATGTCTTTTCATTTAATTTAACTGGTTCAACCGTTTTAATTTAACTGGTTCAACCGAGTTTTTGTAAAAATCAGTCGGTTCGTTCCGGTTCATAAATAGACATAAATCAATGCTAGTTGTCCGACTCTTTTCTCCGGTTACCGGTCCAACCGTTCGACCATCCGGTTCAACCCGATTTTTAAAACATTGAGTAGGATTACATGTTTTAAACTCTCATGCCAAGTTGACAAATAAGACATTTGTGATCGATTGAGTCATATTAGCTTGTTAAATATTTGTTGAATCTTTAAGCATTCTTTTCTAGATTTTCAAAAATTATGAAAATTTATGTAAGAAATTTGATTTACTTTTATAATAACAATGGCTGATGAATTAAAAGAAAATATTTAACGTTTAAACTTTTTTCTGCAAGATTGACAAGTAATCTCCATACATGAATCAAATTGGCGCGTGGCCCTTTCCTTCATCTTCTCTACTCTCCCCACCTCCTCACGTGCCCGCTCCCACATGTGCCTCGCACGTGCGAATTCCGACTGCGCCATCTCTATTTCCCGCCGTGTCATCTCCCTCACGCGCTCCGCGTATGCTTTCTCCATGGCGGCGCTATGAATTTGTTCGGGCACTCGCCATTTTATCGTCTCCGCCGCAAACGGCGGCTTAATTGGCCGGAGACTGATGGACAGCTGGAGGTCCAGGGAAGGTCCTCCACCTGCACCACCATCATCCAAGGAACGTTGGTGGTCGTCTGATCGGAAAGCCATGAGATCCAACGGCCATGGCGAGGCACATGAGTAGGAGGGTGTGGTATAAGGCATACTTATAGGGAGGAGTTGTAATTCCTTCTCATTATCTTCCATTGTGGCAAAGAGAAGCTCCGCTATACGGCTTTATATAAACCTGTTTTTTGGATGCTATTATATTTTATCCATTTATATATTGTGGTTTATATTTATATAAATTTTTTTCAGAATAAAAAATTTATTCGATTAAAGTGCATTATCATAGACGGGTCTGTAAAGGATTTATTTGTATGTACGTATATGAAAAGTGTAAATTTTTTAATATAAAATGAGAAAAAAAAAAAAAAAACATTTTTAATAATGACATGTATCCGAATCATGTGTTTAATATAAGTCCATGGGTAAAACTTTTTTTAAGTCTTTACTGTAGTCTGTAAAAGTAGAAAAATAATAAAATATTGATAACGCGTTGTAGTGTATTTTTGAATACTTTTGTAAAAGAATCAAAAATATCCAAAGAGATGTGTATTAGTGTATAGTAGCCTTTCTTCCCATGCAAAATGACCTGACACAGACTTGGTATTGGAAAGACATATATGTCCTTAGTCTGTGTTGGCATATCTGTGGGGTAAGCCGCGACAATGAAGGGTAGTATGGTTATATTTCAAAAGACGAAGGGTTTTTTTTTTTTGTCTAAAATATTTAGGTTTGGAAGAAAGATTTGTTACCAAGACGTCTGAGCAAAAGAAAGGCTTTTAATAATTACTTGACAACATTTCAAACGAACAGAATAACATTATTGCCACTGAAATTAAAAACAAAATTATTAAAGAATCAGTACAAGAAATATGGGCTTTAAGGATGACAAAAGTAGTCATTCTAGGTAGTAATGTCTTCATTGTAGCTCCTCATGTCGTCAACGCAATCGCAATTTCCTGCATTTAAGGTCATCGTTGAAATTGTGACTTGTCGTCGCTATTGATAAGTTATTTTGTTGTGACAACTTGTTGCGGTAAATATTTAAACTTTTATAAAGATATAATTTTCCATGTAAGACTTTTTTAAGACAAATTATGCAGTTGGTCCTTGTCAAACATGTTGATTCAGTACAACTATTTAAGTCCCTACAAGTTTGGTCATTATAGTTTATTTTTTGTTTGGTTGGTCATTTACGTTTGTAAAATGAGATTTATATCCTTTTTACTTTATTACATATTTTTCTTTAATTAATTTATATATTATTAAATTATAAATGGTACTGCTATACTCCACCCCACCATTACAACCACCGGCTGTCACCGCCACCGAATGTTGATCAAATGAAGTTTTCAAGCTAGCTTAGCTTATAGCTTCAATGAGTTTGTGAGATGCGATTGTGACATAATTTAACTTTGTAATGGTTTTACCCCCAAGTAAATGTCATCAATTTAGCTCATAATTTCCTTTGGATTCAAATTTGATGGCGATTCAATGTTGATTTGAAAAGTACAACTCATTTTGAAATATTTGTGATGCACATTAAGCTTAACTTAGTTTTTAGATGTCATAAACCGTTGGATTTGAATCCTTGATCTATGTGTAAGTATTGTTTACTAATGATTTGGAACAAGACATGTAAAAAAAATCCCCAATTTACTTAAAACAAATTTCAAGAGGGTAAGCTTATCGTGGATTCGAAATTCGAATTGAAGCTTGAGCGTTATGAAGTGACCCATCACAAAGGGATATGACATCATCTGCATGGAAATATGGGACGCCTTGAAGCCTTGGTTGCCCGCTTTAACTCCCCAAAAAACATCATGTCAGATAGTTTATTGAATAGTCACATGCAAACCTTCCATAACAATTATAAACAAAATTATATTGAAGTAAAATAATAATCGAACTTGATTACTATTTGTTATTAGCTTTATGTAAAAACTAATACCAAATTACAACAATTTATAACCAAATAGACAGTTTCATTTACAAACTAAAAAATATGAAGCATCTTAAGTAAAAAAACAGCTGCATGTTGTATTATAGGTTTTGAGAAAAGACAAATTATCATGTTTGTTGACCATTTTATATCAGATAAAACAACGCGAAAGTAGTGATTTTGTCATGGGTACTACGAATACATGATTGAAAATTTGAAATTATTTTGTGACAGAACTCGGGGCAAACAATGAAGATTCTTTTTAAGTTTGGAGGCAAATTATTCCATTATCAAGTGCAAGACTAATTTCAAATAAAATATGATATTGCATACAATCTTGGAATATTATTTGTCCATAAAAGACAATAAATTTTGATGTAATTATAAGCAACTTCATAATTCATAGTCATAGTGCAACTTCTTCAAATTAGCATACAAGTACACAATATACAGTAGCTGTTAGATTAGATATAGGGAAATTTATTAAACTAATATTTCTAAATGAGTTATTTAAAAAAAAAAAAAAAAATTAGTTTTCTGAAAAATGACAACTAATTAGCATGAAGACCCGCCTGTTTAGTTTAGCCAAAAAAAATGAAGAAGATGTAAATAAAATAGTTTTGGTTGAAGTGTTTGTTGGAGCAAAATGTAAAGAAAAGAGTATTTAAGTTTATAAAATCAAAAACAAGTCTAAAATATGAAAATGAAAAGTAGGAATAAGCCAAAATTGTTGTTGATTTTATCAGTCAATTTTGTATGCTAAAATCAGAAAACTAGTCAGCATGAAGAGCCTCGAGTTGTCTTTTGAGATCTTCAAGATCATCTACAGTCTCCACACTTTCTTTTGAGGTTGTTGGCTGCTGATACACATCTGCATCCGGAAGCTCACGGGTAAGACCTTCCGGAAGCACATCTGCACAAGTTTTTTAATTCCTTTATTTATCCACTACACTTGCTAGCAATCAAATAAATAAATAAATAAAATATTAACCCAAATTGACTATTTTGTAACCTGAAGTTTGTGCATTTATAACAACAACCTCGCAATCATCAACAACACTGAAAAGAAAAGGCAACAAATAAGATTAAGTGCTTAACTCATTAAGTCAAAAGAAACAGTTATACCTTATATTCCATTCATTCTCTGCATGGATTGGGATTTCTATTGTTGATAATTCTTCCTCCATCTTTGCTTTAGCAGCTGCATCCCTAGCAGGCTTCACAAGCATGTATTCTTTCTGCATATAATATTTAACTTTTTATAAATTATAACCAACCAACAACCTCATAAATCTTTAAATAAAAAGGATTTACCTGTCGCTCTAGGCAAGGTCCATTTGAACATTGAGGGTTTGGCTTCATTGCCATTGTTGGGAAGTAATCTTTTAGAGCATTGTATCCCTGATAATATCAATAACAAAAAATTAACATATTAAATTTTAAATAAATAGAGACAGAGAGTTGTGCAATATTTACCAAGTAGGGTGAGACATGCCCGAATTTCAACAAGAACTTGAGTGTGTTCTGGACTAATAGCCCAGCAACAACCCCCTATAAAATAATTCAAAATGTTACCCATAAAAACCAGAATGTACACAATATGATTTATTTATTTTTTTCATCTACAATCATAAGAGATGTTTACATAAGCACAGTTTCATAAACCATAAATATACAAAAAGCAACCAATTTGCTTGAGTTTAAAAGTAAAAAAGTGGAGAGTTTTGCTGACCATAGTAGTAGGCAAAGATGCAGCACAAACTCCTTCACGCTTAAGTGTACGTTCATCCACCCCAGATGCTACAACCTAAACAAAAGGAAAATTACATTTTATATACAGTTTATATGTATATATGTATGCAAATTAATGAACTCAATAAAAGATATATTTCATTATATTTACCAATGGAGGTGCACATGCAAAACAAGCAGTTTCTCCAGGTATCAGTAACTGTATGTGACCCGAAACAGCATCCTCAGACACACCTGCCCAATAAAAACTCGATCCCTCATTTTTATTCTTATTTTAAAATACCCTCATTAGAATTTTATGGTAGTTTTCCAAAATGATGAGGCAAAAAAAAAAAAACAGAGTTCATTTACTTACCAGATTCCATCCAAGTCTGATTCAGTTCATTGCAAGCCTGTAAAAACAAAACTAGGTTAGAATTCAACTATTTAAAGAAAGGCACAAAAATTGAGTGGACAATAAAAAGGAAAAAAAAAAAAATCCACTTATAATATGTCACCTGATTTACAACCATCCTTGCTTCATAATTATCTACACAGCTCAAAACAAGATCAACTCCAGTGCCTTGTTTATCTTGGCGAAAAGATTTGTTTTTGAGACTTGAAACAAAAGTTTCAAAACCTTGCACTGTTGTTATGTTCATGGTAAAACTCTGACAATATTAAACAAATTAGAAAGTGAAAGTAAGTCACAACTTACAAAAAAAGATATGTGATCTTATTGGTTTTGTTCAAATATTACCTCAAGAACCACATCCGGATTTATTTCTGATAAAGTTTGAACAGCAGCATCAGTCTTAGTCATACCAACCTGAGAAATATACATGTTACAACTTATATACAAAAGTACTTTACAGTTTACAACCCTAACAATATTATGATAAATTATTATAATCACATTCACACCTGTTCAGGTCGGAAAAATAGCCTATTCATGTTGGCTAATTCCACTGTATCATAATCATACAACAAAAGACGGCCTATACCACATCTTGTAAGCATTTCAGCAGCAACACTCCCTACCCCACCAATACCCTGTACAAAGAACAATGTAATCAATTCAATGAAGTGTGAAATATTGAGATTCTAATGGAAGGGTAGTTTAGTCTAAAGAATGATGAATTGAAAAAGATGGGTTCAGTACAGACAACTATGGCAACTGAAAAATCCCGTATTCTTTCGTAATTGTCCACAATACCCATGCGCTGCAGTGCCATGAGCCTACTATAAGGGTTGCTGTCTACAACCTCTGCACTCATATCCTGACATCAAATCAAAAGCATCATTATTACAATCACTTTGGTTTACAGAAATTAGTTGCAGCTGATATAGAATATTATAGATCCAGACAAAAGTCAAAACCTTGACTTTTGATCGGCGAGTTGATCCAGCCATTGCAAGACTGGTGAGATTCTCTACACGCAATCGAATCTGCCACCACAAAAGTCAT